AAATCATCCTCTTCCCACTGAATTGCCTTTGCTCTTTTGTTAAAGATCAGTTGACTATATTTTTGTGGGTCTGTTTCTGAGCTCCCTATTCTGTTCCAGTGGTCTTTTTTTTTTCACCAAAAACATGTGATCTTGATTACAATTAGTGTTTTATGTTTTTAAAATTACACTTGTACATTTTTCTTTTTATATGTTCAAGAGCCAGGTTTGAATTTCTTTGCTCATTTTAGCTTTTTTTTTTTTTAATTATTTCTTTTCTTGACCTTGTTATTGTTTTCTCTAGCTTCTTCAGTTAAATTAGTTAAGCTCATTTCATTTTCTAGTAAAATATGTATCTTAGTCTGCTAGGGCTGTCATAAAAAAAAAATACCACAGGTTGTGTGGCTTAACCAGCAGAAATTTATTTTCTCACAGCTCTGGAGGTTAGAAGTCCAAGATCAGTGTGCTGGAAAATTCTTTTTTCGGTGAGGTCTCTCTTCCCAGCTTGCAGATGTCCACCTTCTCCCTGTGTCCTCATGACCTTTTATCTGTGCCAAGGGAAGTGGGGAAAGGGATAAAGATATCTCTGGTGTCTTTCCCTTTTCTTATAAGGCCACAAATTCTATTAGATCAGGGCCCCACCCAGCGACCTTACTTAGCTTTGATTATCTCCTTAAAGGCCCTGTCTTCAAACACAGGCACACTGGAGGTTAGGGTTTCAACATATACATTTTTGGGGGATACAGTTTGGTCTATAACAATATGATAAAAGCAGCAGTGTTATGAATTTATTTCCAAATATAGCTTTATCTCTAAAGTGCATTCTTTCATATGTGGTGTTATCACTGTTCTTTATACATTGTTATTGTGTTCTTTTCTTTTTTTTTCTTCTTATTTTCTTATTGATCTAATAGTTAATTGGAAAATTAGGGTGACTTTCCCTTGTTCTCCAGAATTTTTTATAAGCCCTATATTTTAAAAGCTAATATAGAAATAATATTGCTTTGATATTTTGAATTTATTGAAATTAGAGTCTAGTAGAATGGTTCTCAATTCTCAGGGACATTTGGATATGTGCATTTTTGGTTGGCATCATGATGTGTCATGGGGAAGGGCTTCATGTAGTTTATAGGGTTAAGAACTTCTAGATCTCGTTGGGGCGCCTGGGTGGCTCAGTGGGTTAAAGCCTCTGCCTTCGGCTCAGGTCATGATCTCAGGGTCTTGGGATCGAGCCCCGCATCGGGCTCTCTGCTCTGCGGGGAGCCTGCTTCCCTCTCTCTCTGCCTGCCTCTCTGCCTACTTGTGATCTCTCTCTGTCAAATAAATAAATAAAATCTTTAAAAAAAAAAAAAAAAGAACTTCTAGATCTCAATGCTGTAGGCCAGCCATGAAGAACTGTGGTGTGTGTGTGTGTGTGTATGTGTGTAAGAGAGAGAGGGAGGTAGAGAGAGAGAGAGAGAGAGAGAGAGAGAGAGAGATAGCATGCAGAGGGTGAATTTCAGGCCCTGTCTCCCTCTAAACATGGCTCACTGCCATTGCTGCCTTGCGGCTATCACATGTAAGTGTGGAGCACTGTATGTGGAGTCTCCTTTCAGAGTTCCAGGTATTTAGTGAGGCAGAGCCCACTCTGCTCTGGGTTTCCTCATTGTCTTTGGGGGTTTCAATCCAATTTTGGGATGTCATCTACCTTCAAGGGAATCTGTATCAGGGAGCAGTCTCCCACTTGGGTTGCTCATGTCTACTCTAACCTCATTTCCTCTGATGCTGTTCTAGATCCTTCTTCACTGTCTGGGATGGGCTTTAGTTTCTTCCTTAGTTGGCAGGAAACAACTTAAATCCCATCCCACTGTTTCTTCTTTAAGACTTTTATTTAAAGTGTGCTCAGGGGGGGCACCTGGGTGGCTCAGTGGGTTAAAGCCTCTGCCTTCGGCTCAGGTTATGATCACAGGGTCCTGGGATCAAGCCCCGCATCAGGCTTCTGCTCAGTGGGGAGCCTTCTGCCTCCTCTCTCTCTCTGCCTGCCTCTCCGGCTATTTGTAATCTCTGTCAAATAAATAAATAAAATCTTAAAGTGTGCTCAGTCCTTCAAACTCTGACTCTTGATCTCTGAAGAGAGATTTTTTTGGTCCCCACATAAATATTTGTAGTGAGGAGAGGAATCTTTTAAAATTTCCTATTACATTTAATTTTGATATAATTTCAAACAAAGTTTCAAGAAAAGCACAAAGAATTTTCTAAAGCCCTTTATCCAGATTCTCTAAGTGCTAACATGTTGCCACATTTGCCTCTGTCTCTACATGTGTGTCCCCTCTATCTCCCTCTTCACACAAGAACACTTGCCCCTGTGCATGCACACACACGCACAAGTCAGGAAGTCAGCATCGATTCACTACTATTGTCCAGTCTACAGGCTTTCTTCATATTTGGCCAGTTGTCCTGCTAAAATCCTTTCTATCAAGAGAAAACTGATAGGTCAAAAGAAAACTGGTCCCGTATTGCACTGCATCGTCATGTCTCTTTAGTCATTCTTTGTATTTTATGACACTGGCATTTTTGAAGACTATAGGCTTGATGTTTTGTAGACCATTCCCCAGTCTGGTTTGTTTCTATTTCCATAAGATTAGGTTCAGGTTATGCATTTTTGGCAGGAATCCCACTGTGTCCTCAGTGGATCTTGTCAGAAAGTGCATGAGGTCGATTGTCTCATAACTGGTGAGGTGAACCTTGATCACTTGGTTAAGCTGGTGTCTGTCAGGTTTCTCCACTGTAAAGGTACTAGCTTTCCCTTTGTACTGAGTAAGTCATCTTGTGGGGAGGTACTATGAAGCTATTGTATCATTCTTCAAATTTTCACCCACTACTTTTACCATCCATGGATGATTCTTACATGAATCAGTTATTATGATGATGGTTACCCACTGACTATTTTCTAATTCCATTACTTCTTCTATAGTAATCCATTTTGTTTTTGTTTTACTGTAAGGAAGAGTTTTCTAAAGGAGGACTTTGGAAATTCAGAAAATGCTTTTTCTTTTCTCTTGAGGAGTTAAGCTCCTGCAGTTGAATAACTGACTTTCAAAACTGTTGTCCTTAAGCTCAAAGCTAAGCTGTGAGGCGTTTTGCTCTAAGCTGTGCCCATCTTCCATCTGAGGTTCAGAGTGTACAGAATACCATTGATACCACTGGTGAATAGCCACAGGATCACAAGAGGAAGTTTAGCCTAGGAAAAACCCTTAGGTGAAAGTTATCTCCAAATATCACTTTGCTGTAACAGTTTTTAGTATTGCAAGGTTTCATATCCTTGTGTCTTTCTAGGTGCTTCTGTGTAAAAGTGAGCGAAATTGCCAATAAGAAGGAATTATAGGAGCAGGGCACCTGGGTGGCTCAGTGGGTTAAAGCCTCTGCCTTCGGCTCCGGTCATGATCCCGGGGTCCTGGGATCGAGCCCCGCATCGGGCTCTCTGCTAAGCAGGGAGCCTGCTTCCTCCTCTCTCTCTCTCTCTCTGCCTGCCTCTCTGCCTACTTGTGATCTCTCTCTGTCAAATAAATAAATAAATAAATAAAATCTTTAAAAAAAAAAAAGGAATTATAGGATCAAAAATGAACATATTACCACTTGATTTTTTTTTTTTTTTATTTGACAGATCACAAGTAGACAGAGAGGCAGGCAGAGAGAGACAGGAGGAGGAGGAGGCAGGCCTCCTGCGGAGCAGAGAGCCCGATGCGGGACTCGATCCCAGGACCCTGAGATCATGACCTGAGCCGAAGGCAGAGGCTTTAACCACTGAGCCACCCAGGCGCCCCATATTACCACTTGAAAAGAACTTTAAACCTTTCTGTCTTTTACAAAAAAGTAGTTTACCCCTCTCCCACCCGAGGCTTCCAACACTGATTTGCTAGATTAACTCATCAAAGATTATACAGGATTAACATTGTAATGTCAGTCCCAATGATGCTCCATTGTTTTGAATTCCAAATTAGGGAACTGGAATCGATACATTTCTTTTTACCCTCAGACGTTGTATGTTTTGAATTGGGTGATATTTGTGTGTGAGGGTGAATGTATCTTCTGCCAACTTCCTTTGCCTATATCATCTTTAAGAGGGTGCTTGAACCAGATTTGTTTCAGAGATAGAGTGTCTTGTGTTAAGACCTAGAGACTTAGAAGGAAAGGATACTTGTTTATGTTAGCAGTTTCTTGCAGATATACAGCATCTACATTAGCTAATGGGAGAAAATAAAATCAATTACACTGAAAGAAGAAGAGTTGAAAAAAACACAATTTCCTTATTTCTTTATGGGTATTAGCCCAAGATTACAAATCCCAAAGCTATCCCAAAGAAAGAAAGCTAACTGCTTAGAGTCTCCTAATTTTCTCATTCAAATGTATGTGTTTATCTTAATGACCATGTATCTGAAATCTTTATTTGGGGATCTAAAAGAAAAAAAAGAAAAATACAAGGTTATTCAGTGTGCATATTCTCTGTATTATGGATGTTGGAATTTGGATACATTAACTCCAGAGAGTTAATGTGATATTTTAGGATACCCTTGTACATTCTCTTTGCATAGAAGTCCTAGGGAAATGCTTTTTTTTTTTTTTTTTAAGATTTTATTTATTTATTTGTCAGAGAGAGAGAGCAAGAGTGAGCACAGGCAGATAGAGTGGCAGGCAGAGGCAGAGGGAGAAGCAGGCTCCCTGCCGAGCAAGGAGCCTGATGTGGGACTCGATCCCAGGACGCTAGGATCATGACCTGAGCCGAAGGCAGCCGCTTAACCAACTGAGCCACCCAGGCGTCCCGGGAAATGCTTTTTGACTATCTTGATTTTCTGCTGTTTGTTTCAGCGGCTGTGTATAAAGATGATTATCATTTCTACCTGCAAGTGACATCTTAAGAAATGTGTATGTGGAGGGGATTGAGGAATATTGTGGAGAATGTTAGACCTTCCTTTTAAACAACTGTTCGTGTAGGCAACTTACTTATTTTGTGTATTAAACAAGTGATTTTTTTAAATTGGTAGATCCTTGTCCCTATGAGCATGAAGACACCTTTTTCTCAGTGTTTCACACTCAGGTCCCTCCAGAAGAATATGAAAACCGTATACAGAAAGTCAGTCAAGGTATGTTTTAATTTGTGTGTTTTAGCATATTGTCACAAGAAAATACTAGCTATATGCAGAAATATTCACAGATGAAATCATCTGATGTGATTTAATCCTGTGGTAGGTAAACGAAAGTTAAGGTTCTAGATGAAACAAAATTGGTCACGAGTTAATCATTGTTGAAGTTAGTTGTTGAGGGTTTATAATACCATTCTTTCTATTTTTGGATATTTAAATTTTATATAATGAAGAGTTAAAGAAAAGCTGGCTTCAAGTAACTTAAGCTAGAAAACTAGCTTAAGCAAAAAAAAAAAAAAAAAAATTTATAGAAATAATCCTGGGGGTAGACAGCTTTTTTTGATTCCCAAGAGCATATTCTGTGGTTAGTCATGAGAGGGAGACTCTCTTTCAAAATTGTGGAAAAGAGGGGCGCCTGGGTGGCTCAGTGGGTTAAGCCGCTGCCTTCAGCTCAGGTCATGATCTCAGGGTTCTGGGATCGAGCCCAGCATCGGGCTCTCTGCTCAGCAGGGAGCCTGCTTCCTCCTCTCTCTCTGCCTGCCTCTCTGCCTGCTTGTGATCTCTTTCTGTCAAATAAATAAATAAAATCTTTAAAAAAAAATTGTGGAAAAGACAACAACTGATCCAGGTTGGGTTAGGTGCCTACCACTGGTCAAACCGACTCATCCAACTGGGCAAGAGTTGGTGTTAATATAGGAAAGTGGCAGCTTCTACTGTTGGTCACCACCAGGGTGGAGAGGAGAGGACCTTTCTAGTGAGATGGTTCTAACCAGACAACCCAGTGTTTTTTACTACAATTAATTAATTAATTAACTAATTTATTTATATTTATTTGAGAGGGAGAGAGCACGAGAGTGAGAGAAATTGGGAGAATGAGTGGGGGAAGGGGCAGAGAGAGAAGCAGACTCCCTGTGGAGCAGGGAGTGCAACGTGGGAAGGGATCCCAGGACCCTGGGATCATGACCTGAGCTGAAGGCAGACGCGTAACCAACTGAGCCACCTAGGCGTCCCTAAGAAACTGTTTTAAATGTAGACATGAATGCATTTAATTTGAGTTATTTTAATGTTGTATTGTTTGAGTATATGAAACTTAAACTGAATGAATAAACTTCATATTTCAGCTTAAAAGACTATACACAACTTGGATTATGGGGAAAATGTTGCATATTTTAGATTTAAGGAGGCCACTCACCAAAACTCATACTTTAACTATTGGTAGTTGACTAAATGTGACCTATTAAAGAAATAAAATCCCAATGATAAAATACAGATTGATTTGCCTAGAAACTTATAACTTAAATTTGAGTGAAACTTTTTTTTACCCAAATTTATTTATTTATTTTTATTTTTTTTTTTTAAAGATTTTATTTATTTATTTGTCAGAGAGAGAGAGAGGGAGAGAGAGTAAGCACAGGCAGACAGAATGGCAGGCAGAGGCAGAGGGAGAAGCAGGCTCCCTGATGAGCAAGGAGCCCGATGTGGGACTCGATCCCAGGACGCTGAGATCATGACCTGAGCCGAAGGCAGCTGCTTAACCAACTGAGCCACCCAGGCGTCCCCCAAATTTATTTTTGTTTGAAAAGAATTTATATCCAGAGATCTTACCCTTTTCCTGGTTCTTTCCAGCTATTGTTATCAAAATATATTGTTTAATTATTAAATTTGAATTGAATCTTTGACAACTAGCTATAAATATACCAAATGACTAGCTCCCTTAATCCTTATTGTTATACACCCTCTTAAAAAACAAAGATAACTTTTAAGTAAACCTTGTCTGGATTGAGCTGCTGACTGTTGTTTTTCCCTTTTGGACTTTAATGTGGCAGTTTATCCTCTTTTTTAGGGTGGGAACTCCATTTGTCATTTAAGAGTTTTTAGAGCTTTAAAGAAGCAGTCACGTGATCTTGTTTTAAATGCTTTAAATGTGACCAGAGTGAAAACAAGCTATTTAATGTAGGGAATAAGAGTCCGTAAGTATTTTTCTTACCTGTTTTGAGCACCCAGGGTCTGAACAACTCAGAAGTTGACTCGGGCCTCTTTTCAAAGGTGGAGAAAAAGTGACAAACTGAGATGAGCTCTCAGGGTCTGCGCAGACGGGATGTCAAACATCCAGGACACTTATGTCCAGACTTCGCTTAAAAGACAGGTTTGAACAAAAAGTTACTGTTCAGAGAAGACGATGGGATATTAATAGAACATCAGGAAATGACTCTAGTCTTTAGGGCAAGTTTTGTTTCATATAGAGAATGAGATAAAATATATTGTATTAATTAATTAACTTCATCAGAGTATAGTTGACACACATATTACACTAATTTCAGGTTACAACATAGTGACTCAACAAGTCGACACAGTAATCTATGCTCACTGTGAGAGTAGCTCCTTGGTCACCATGTGACACTATTATGATACCATTGACTATATTCCTTATGCTGTGCCTTTCATCCCTGTGATTTAGTCATTCCCTAACTGGAAGCTTGGATCTGTCACTGCCCTTTATGCATTTTGCCCATCTCCCCACTCTCCTCCCCTCTGGGAACCATCACTTTGTTCTCTGTATTTATAAGTATGATTCTGCTGTTTGTTTCTTTATTTATCATTTGTTTTGCTTTTTAGATTCCACCTATGCGTGAAATCATATGGTAATTATCTTCCTCAGTCTGACTCATTTCACTTAGCATAATACCCTTTGGGTTTACCCATGCTGTCACAAATGGCAAGATCTTTCTCTTTTTCATGGTTGAGTAATATTCTAGTGTCCGTGTGTATGTGTATCACATCTTCTTTATCCATAAGAATAAATCTCCGTATGTAATAAGTTTCTGGATTTGGAATTTAGAAGTTTTTCTATATGTGCTTTTTTTTCTTATATATTTTAATGTATGCTTATATATTTCAATGCTTGCTTTATTTCTTATATATTTAATGTATGCTTAATGTAATTTTAATTTAAAATTTTAGCATAATGGACAATTGTAATAATGAAAAATTTTGAACTTTTTAAATATTAGATTTTACCTATGATGTGGGAGGAAACGAGTCATTGATCAAAGCAGAAAAGAAACATTCCTCAAATACAGAAAAGACTGAGCTCAGGGGTAAACATAGCCAGGATTTTATCAAAAGAAACATTGAGGTATGTACTTAGAAGTTTAGAAATCAATATGTAAGATTAAATGAGTTATGAAATGAAAATAGTTGTGTTCATGGTCTTTAAATACTTTTTTGATCATGATACATGTATATGTAATTGAAACAGTGTATATAACTGAAGAAAAGTTCTATGGACCATTACTTCTCTTCGCTATTTTTTATTCCATCCTACCTTATTTTACCCCCTTTAAAAATGCTAGCTGCTGTTTGGTACATTTGTTTCACTACCCAGAAACGAACCTGGTTCCTGCAGTTTGAAACACATTTGTTTAGATGATAGCTTCAGACAGTGTTTCCCAGATTTTAAATTGCATATTAGTAAAATTGGCCTTTTAAAGTAAGGAGACTGAGTTTATAGTTGGTGTATTTAGAAATTTGCAAGGAAAATGCTCCTGGCAGAGCTGGAGAGGCCAACAAGTTGTCTGCCCTTTTCCCTCTCCAGTTAGCTGAGCCTCCAGGAAGCCCACTTGTCACTTGCCTTGATTAGCTCCTTGCGTCAAGGGCTCAGCCTTGGTCTTACAGACCCTACAGCCTGTCTTAGTATGTCCTCAAGGCAGACTAACCCAGGGCAAAAGGGCTCCTCTATTAGACCAGAATGCTGATTAATTAATGTACAGCAAGAAATGTAGGTGCAGTGGACAGAAGGCTTGTGACAAACCACCCAGGCCGTTAGCAGATGAGTTACTAGGTGAGTGTGAAGTTATTCACAAGAGGGGAGAGTTAAATAGTTCCTCACAGTTCAAACCTGATGCTCCTTCCACAGCTGGCATGTCATTTCCAGGCAGATTGCATTCATGGGTCAACGTGCCAATGACAGCATTGGCCTCTGGGACTCCCGCATTTTCTCTTCATGTCCCTCTGATCTGAAGGAAACCTTCTCCAGCTTGATCTCTTTGCACTGGCCCATGTTGATTTACTTAATTTTCCAAGAGTGGCAGTGTTTTTCTCAGAGCCAGCCCCACCATGAATTTCCCCTTTCCCCTTTTAACAACGGTAGCTGACTCTTTATTCAAAGTCCTGATATAACAGTCTGGAAACATAAAGGCAAGTTCATTCAGGAGCAGGCAGGATGTCTGGCTTGCAAGCAGGCACCTTTGTTTTGGGTGCGATGGAAGAGCGGTTTTGAAATGGATGATGTTGAGAAGGACAAGAAGAGTTTTGTTCAGAAGTGTGCCCAGTGCCCTACAGTGGGGAAGGGAGGGAAGCACAAGACTGGGCCAGATCTCCACGGTCTGTTTGGACAAAACACAGGGCAGGCCCCTGGGTTTTCTTATCTGGATGCCACCAAGAACAAAGGCATCGCCTGGGGAGAGGAGACACCGATGGAGAATTTGGAGAATCCCAAGAAGCACATCCCTGGAACAAAACTGATCTTCGCTTGCATTAGGAAGACAGGAGCAGACTCAATTAGAAAAGGGCAGAGTCGATAGCTTCCAAGAAACCATAGTTGACCACTGCCTTATTTATTACAAAACAAGAATGTCTCATGACTTCTGTCTGTACCGTATTTCCATTGATTTCATACACCAGAACTCAGATCATGGATGGCTGATGGGATATTCCTTTTGGACAGTCCTTATTGAAATAAGATTGGCTTGTGGTTAAATGTATCTGATTAGCTTTTTGAACTTCTATAGTAATTCTGGTTCAGCAAGCGCTGTCACTGTTTTCCCCTTCTAGAGAGATGATTGGAATCGATTGGTAATGTTCGACTTTTCTCAGAGACGGTAAATGCCATCTCTAAACCTTGGGAGATGGGTTTTCTATTTTGATTTATATAAATGTTACGTTTATTTAAATATTGAGGAAATCCCTTTACTATCTTACAGAACAGCAATACTCAGCTGTGTTTCACATCATGTTCATTAGCCTGGTAAAGGCAAGGGCTGAAGACAAGCTGGCATTGTCCACTTTCTCTTTTTGGTCTTAACTCTGCCAATTTAATTAAAATTCCCTGCATCTAAAATGTTGCCTTTTGCTTAATGAAAGGCATTTTCATGTGGTTTATGTACAATATTAAATCAAGAATATTTAACGCTTTTCACATTTTATGGATGATCTATAATGTAAGATACTTTTAGGATAGTGTGACAGGACTATGTGGACAGTCACGTTTGTGGTAGCAAATGTGTCTTGTGAATTCCTCACTAAGTCATACGAAGTTATAATTCAGATTGTCTTTTAAACAGCTTTTTGAAAACCTAACTGTAGAATTACCATATATGCGTGATTGGTCATGGTGCTCTTATCAACTCATTAGAAGGATTAAAGTTGAGATATATCATCGGCACAAATTTGCAAGTTATGTGATAAAGCTTCAAATAATTACAAATAAAATCACATTAAAAAAATAAGAGCAATTTCATTTGGTAGATACATGTCACATAGGAAGTGGCAAGAGCTTCTTTCCAAATATCTCAATATATTATTACATTGGTAAATAAAGGGAGGTTTGCCAACTGCCCATGTTTGTTTTATCTTATATTTTAAATAAAATGTTTGTTAAAACGGCTAACACGAGGGCCTTTGGCATCAAAGAAAACTACCTCGCAAATGAAAAACGCCTAATCTCACAGATTTGCCCAAGTGTATCTGTGCTATAGAAGGCTCAGTTCCCATTTTTATTTTCCTGAACTATGAATTGTCTTGAGTATTTACTATTTTTTATTAAAACATTCCGTAGTTGGCCAAGGATTCAGGGAAGCCAGTGGTTATGATGGATACAGAGAGGAAAAGGCTGATCGAACTTTTGAAGGACTTAGATGACAGAGATTCGGGGCTGCCCCATCCTGAGGTATGTAAGCTCTAATATTCAGTGACCTCTATGCTTCATCTTCTTTTTTTTTTTTCTGTAGTTTTGATTATTCATTTATTTTGGGAAGAAATTTATTTATTTGACAGAGAGCGAGCACAAGCAGGGGAGCAGCAGGCAGAGGGAAGAGGGAGAGGCAGGATCCTCACTGAGCAGGGAGCCTGATGTGGGACTTGATCCCAGGCCTCTGGGATCATGACTTGAGCTGAAGGCAGCAGCTTAATTGACTGAGCCACTTAGGCGTCCCTCAACTTTTTATTTAAATTCCAGTTAATTAACTGTGTGTAATATTAGTTTCAGGTGTAGGGCTTAGTGATTCATCACTTACGTACAATACCCAACACCTGTGGCTCACTGCAGCAGCTGGTGCCCTCCTTAATCCCTATCACCTATTTAAACCACAATCCCTCTCTCAACCCTCAGTTTGTTCTCTATTGTTAAGAATCTGTTTTATGGGGGGCGCCTGGGTGGCTCAGTGGGTTAAGCCGCTGCCTTCGGCTCAGGTCATGATCTCAGGGTCCTGGGATCGAGTCCCGCATCGGGCTCTCTGCTCAGCGGGGAGCCTGCTTCCCTCTCTCTCTCTCTGCCTGCCTCTCCGTCTACTTGTGATCTCTCTCTATCAAATAAATAAATAAAAATCTTTAAAAAAAAAATCTGTTTTATGGCTTGCCTCTATCTTTTTTCCATCCCTGTGTTCATTTGTTTTGTTTCTTAAATTCCACCTATGAGTGAGATCATATGGTATTTGTCTTTTTCTGAATTATTTCACTTAGTGTATGTAATACTGTCCAGCTCCAGCCACTTTGCAAACCATGCCTAATCTTGTCTGATCTTGGAAGCTAAACAGGGTTGGGCCAGTTTAGTACTTGGATGGGAGGCCTCTACACTTCTTAATTTTTATTTTTTATCATGTTACTGACTTCTTATCACAAATCTGAGTACATCTTCAAATTATGGGACAATATTTAAAAAAATCCCGTTTTACAAAATGATGTTGATTGAATTTTTCAGATTTATTCTTGGCCAATTCGTTATCAACTCTCAGAGGATTATGTGATGTCATTGTGAGAGTGACTACACGTTAGCAATCATAATAACCTCTACCTGAGATGTAATAGGGCTTAGTCACTGATGACATATCTATGTGTTTCTCTGTGTCCTTTTATTTTGGACATTTATTATTATCCCTAAGCTGGCTCCAGGATATTTTGGTGTCATCTTCAGTAACCCTAAAGAATACCATCCTGCTTCCACCTTGAGCATCCAGGTCCCTGAAGCGTCCAAGGAGGGGAACAGCATGCAGTCCGGGGTTCAAGTGTGGGGTTTATAGGGTGTGGGCTGGTCCCACGAGCAGGGAAGTGGCTTAGCATTTGCTCTTGTTTGCCTACTAAACTTCCAGCAGTATCCTTTACTTCTACAAAGAAATGCATTCTCCTGGGTATCTTGAAGCCCCTAGCCCTGTCACCTAGTTTTATTTCTGTATGTTTAATACAGGCATGATGGAGTGAAGGCTGCTGGCATCCTGCCCAGATCCCTTTTACCTGGTACCTTCTGTGCCTCCATCCCCCTACCCTGTGTCAAGGCCACATAGCTGCCCCCTTCCCTGGAGTCTGGCCTTGTGTTAAATGGGAGCCGAACAGCCTAGAGTAGCTCCCCCTCTCCATTCCCATCCCCTCCCGAGTCAAGAAAGGCTTGGGTCTGTGGAGCAGTGTGTCCTCCAGAGCTTCCCCGGGGGCAGCTGAGGCCACATCCTTGCCTGGTTGTGTTTCCCTTGTCCTCGCCTGCTTCCCTCACATGGCTTCTCCTGGGAGCGGGCCTTCAGAGAGTCACTCAAGCAAGAATCCCTGTCTCAGGTTCTACAACTAGACCGGCCTCAGATAAGTAGGTGCAAAGGGTCGTTTTTGCTGTAGGGACACAAGCTGTGCGTGAGCAACAGTACCTGTGACCAGTGGGGGAGGGCGTGCCAGGCCTCCGAGGCCCTCATTCCTCCTCAGCTGGTGGCTGAGGCTGGAAATCTCAGCCCAGGGCTGTCTGGATCCTCCAACCTATCAAGAGAAGCTAGAAATTCAGATTTTCTGTGGGAAATACTTTTAATACTTTTAGATGTTGACAGCTAATTTCATTTAAAAATGTCCTGTGTAGGGGCACCTGGGTGGCTCAGTGGGTTAAATCCTCTGCCTTCGGCTCAGGTCATGATCTCAGGGTCCTGGGATCGAGCCCCACATCAGGCTCTCTGCTCCGAGGGGAGCCTGCTTCCTTCTCTCTCTCTGCCTGCCTCTCTGCCGACTTGTGATCTCTGTCAAATAAATAAATAAATAAATCTTAAAAAAAAAAAATGTCCTTTGTAGGCAAACAAAGTTGCTACCCCACCACCCTCACCCCAAATCACAGACAAATCTACATACATCACAGACTACAACCTCGGAAATGTTCTTTCCTGAGAAGTTGCAGGCCCAGTGGGGGCTGTGTCTAGGAATGTAGGAAAGTGTTGCTGTGTCTGGGGCTGGCGAGATTGCCTGGGGAGATCCATCCCTTGACAAGGCAGAGGATAGATAGCGAGGCCTCAGAACAGCTGGTATGTTCTCTGAAGCAGAGGCGAGAAGTAGGTAAAGCAAACTGCTAACCTCCCACAGAATCTGGAAATATTTTAGCTTTAGAATTTGTGGTAATTAATTTTATTAACAAAAGCTAAGATAACAATAAGACTTTTTTTTTTTTTTTTAAACAGTAGGACTTAAGGGACCTGCATCTCATTCCTGGTTTCATTATTAAGAAGTTAGGCAAGCTGCTAGCCATTGATTCTCTGGGTTCCAAACTATGGCATGGTAGATCTTCCTTATGTACCCAGAAAGGATTTAACAGTGAATTTTTATTATTAAATATTGCCTTTTACGTTTTATCTTGGTTAGTATTTGTGTCTTGTCCCTCTCTTTATTTTTAACTCTCTTCTATCCTTTATTTTTATTTTTAGGTAGATTATTTACAAATACCATATAGCTGGATTTTTGTTATTGCTGTTGTGTCTTTGTTTCTTTATCTTTTGTTATTTCCTTATTCTTAATCTTTTAATGAGGATATTTAATTTATTCATTTATATTATGACTTCTGACAGTGTTTGGACCTTTTCCCCCCATCTTGTTATTTCATTGATTAGATTTATTTTGTTTTCTTTCTTTTTTTTTTTTTTTTAAAGATTTTATTCATTTATTTGACAGAAAGAGAAAGAGAGAGAGCACAAGCAGGTGGAGCAGGAGGCAGAGGGAGAGGGAGAAGCAGGCTCCCTGCTGAGCTGAGAGTTGGATGTGGGACTAAGTCCCAGAACCCAGGGTTCATGACCTGAGCCAAAGACAGACACTCAACTGACAGAACCACCCAGGTGGGCGTCCCTAGATTTATTTAGTTTTCTTAACTTCATCTCCTTTTCCTCTCATAGTTTGAGGATTCAGTTCAGTATTTTATATCTGATCTGGTGCTGCTAACCCTCAATTTCTTAAAATACATGAAAATGTCTATATTTTTTTCAACTTCAATAATTACCCTCTAAAATCCTGTATCTTAACAAGGCAGGATCCCAGCACCGTGACCCAAGCCAAAGGCAGAAGCTCAACTGACTGAGCCACCCAGGCACCCCATCTACTATATTCTTAAACCATACCAAAATTCCTCAAATTCCTCAAATTTGCTATAGTCTTTGGCACTTATGTGTGTCTTTTTCTTTCTGGAGTGCTAACTCATCCTCCCATTTTTGACAAATGACTGTGCAACTAAAAGAGGGTGACTAGGGCGGTAATTATGTTTTAATTCCCCGGAACTCCTGCCCTTGGGTGGTTCTTCATAGTGGCATGTTTAATTGTGAGAACAGGATAGTCTCTTGAATCTCTCTAGGATACTAAGAATTTTTAAAAGGTTTCTGTTTTTTTAAAAAAAAATTTACTTATTTTAAAAAAGATTATTTACTTGAGACAGTGAGAATGAGAGAGAGAGAGAATGAGCACAAATGGGGGAAGGCAGAGGGAGAGGAACAAGCAGACTCCCTACTGAGGAGGGAGCCCAATGTGGGACTCGATCCCAGGACCCTGGAATGCGCTGAAGACAGATGCTTAACTGACTGAGCCACCCAGGCGCCTCTAATTTATTTTTTTAAAGTAATCTCTACACCCAGCATGGGGCTCGAACTCACAACCTGAAGATCAAGAGTTGCATGCTTCTCCTGCTGAGCCAGCCAGGAGCCCCTAGAAGATTTCTTTCTATTTGGGGAATTTACACTTGTAATGAATGGCACTCCCCAAAGCCAGCTGCCTCTACTGGCAAAATGAGTTTTGCATTGTATCTCAAATTACCCATATCTAAATCAGTGTTGAATGTGAAGGTTTGGTTGTAGACCCTTGGTTACCAGACTGAGCGCTCACTGTGAAGGAGGGTGGTGAAGAGCATTTTCTGGGTTCTGTCTTAGGGAGGCAAGACTTCTGAAAGCTACAAATTTCCCACATTAGCAAGGGTGTCTAGAAGGTGCTAGATGGAAAAACACGATACCATCTCCTACATATTTCATATAATTTCCCTTTGTGATAGAATAATGCATGAAACATTTACATTTCTATTGAATTTAATCTGACAGTCTCTTTTATTTCCAGTGTCATTAAAAAAGAATTCCATTCAAACAAAAATTTTGGATTTATCACCCAAATATTTAGCCATTGATTCCATAGTTTCATTATTTGGTGACTCATTATTTCTCATTTAGATCATATAGTATTTATATCCCTTGTATTTAGGAAAAATTAACGGGAGTTTCTTATTTGTGACAAAATACTATTTTTTATAATGATGTATAATAACTTTCACTGCCAACTCACAAGTGTATTTAAAATGTTTATTAATATATCATATCCTTGTATGGATATACTACAATCTCTTCACTTTTCCCTATTTTTAGATATTTGGACTTTTTGTAATTATTCTTTACTCTAAATGACATGGCAAAAACATATAAGTCAGTGTTTTGGGTTGCAAGAAACAGAGATGGACTTCAGTGGAAAGAACAGAATAAATGTATTGGGAGAGTTGTATAGCCTTGGTGGGAAGTTCAGCAGGTATTAGGATACCCAGAAGCATGGCTATGGAAACTTCTTAGAAACAGGCTGGTTAGGGGTTGCATCATAGCCACCAGTCACCCCCACTAGATGATTGCTGCTACCAGTACTGGTAAACCCAAGATTACTGCTATCGCCATTAATTATGGTCTCACTTCCCCTGCAACTTTGTATCTCTTTCCCTCAAGAGTCAAAAGTCCAGGGTGTTGACTTCTGACTGGCTAATTCTGGGTCATTTGCTTGTCTTCCTGATGCCAAGGGTGGACAGAAGAGGTGTCTGTTGGCGACCTGTTTCCTACTAAGGCTCATGCAGTGTTTGGTTTTAATGAAACAGGAAGGGAGATTGGATGCTGGGGTTAGGGCGAGACATGTAATTCTTGCTGCGTGAGTTTTTGCATGTATCTCTTGTGGTTACCGCTTTGGGATTGATTCCTGGTATTAGAGTCATGGAACCAAAGTGTATGATATTTTAAAACTTCCTTGCCCTCCATTTGCCCTTTTATTCTTAGTGTTTTCATGATTCTTCTGTCCTTGTGCTACATGTTTCTCTGGGTAACCTCATCCATTCCTATGGTTCAAGGTTTTAAGCCATCATAGAGATGTGGGTGAGTCCATAATACTTATTTCCAATCTAGGTCTCTATCTTGAACTTCAAATATATTTAACTACCTAACATAATCTGTGGATATCCTAGGGATATCTGTGAATATCAAAAGTTCCCAAACAGAATTCATCATTTTCCTCCTTGAACCTATTATGTCTTCTGTATTCCCTCACTTGGTCAATATGACCACTATACCCCTAGTTCTCAGAATCCAGGTTTTGTTTTTTATCTTTGATCCTTGCTCCTCCTTTCACTCTTCCATCAAATTATCTCCAGAGTCTGTAAATTCTACTCCCTAATTATCTCTGGTATCTGTCCTGTGTTCTGTATTCCTTCGTTCGGGTGCTCATCACTTTAGTTCTATATTATGGCTTCTGCTTTTTTTTTTATTTAAAGATTTATTTATTTGAGAGAGAAAGAGAGCGCATGCATGTGAATGTGAGTGGGGGGAGCAGCAGAGGGGGAGAGAGAGAGAGAGAATCCTTGAGCAGACTCCCCGATGCTCGATCCCAGGACCCTGAGACCATGACCTGAGCCCAAATCAAGAGTTGGCTGCCCAACCGACTGAGCCACCCAGGTGCCTGGACTTTTGTATCTTAACTGGATTTTCTGCTTCCAGTCTTGTCTTCACCAGCTCCAGTTTTAAAGATTTTATTTACTTATTTTGGAGATAGAGAGTGAGAAAGAGCATGCATGTGTGCACAGGGGAAGGAGTAGAGGGAAGAGGGACAAGCTGATTCTGTGCTGAGCACAGAGCCCAACATGGGGCTCGATCCCACCACACTGAGACCATGACCTGAGCTGAAATCAAGAGTCCAGCGCTTAACCAACTGGGCCACCAGGCACCCCACCAGCCCGTTTTAAAATGCATAGCCAATCATGTTGCTTCCTTGATTAAGATGTGATGAAGATTGATTATTTCCTCCAGGAAGCCTTCTCCAACCACATTATCTCTCTGCTCCCTCATGTCCACAAAGGTTTTTTAACCTTACTGATCCCCATGGCACCTTGGGCTCACCAGCACTCTTCATACCTTGTTAAAATCTTTGCTGCCGAAAGACTGAGAACTCCTTGAGAGCAAAGCTTATGAGATTCTTACTGAATGACCAGTGCCCAGTGTAATGCCTATGGATGGTGGGTGCTCAGTACAAGATTTCTGAATGAACGTTATGAATGCGCTTTAACCCATTATTAAACAAGTATTTGTTGAATAAGGTATTAGATGACCAGTTAAACTCATGGACCCAAACAACTGTGTTTATAGATCCTATGTTGCCTTTCAGGGACAGATCTTGAAAATACCATGTCCATTATGGGGGAAACATGATTTCTTCCTATTCAACATATCAGAAATCACTTTTTCAAAGTGGAGAAATGAGAATGCTGTAAGAACCAAACTGCGACGCTAAGAGATTTATTCCACAGGGAAAAACCCCACAAAATGTAGGATATACTTTATACAGATTTGGCAGATAATGAAACCATACATCATTTAATTGCTTGTTTCCCCTTAGGGCGATCAGTCTGGCTGGCTGGTTCCAGGAGAAGGATACACACTTGCAACCACCCAGCACCAGCAGCTTGCTGAAATTGACTCAAAGCTCCAAGAACTTTCTGCAGCCTCACCAACAACTTGCAGCATTTCTCCAAGACTTGAAAACCAGAGTGATCAGGTAGATTTAACTTAAGAGCACACAGACTGTTCAGGTTTGTGTGCTAAAGCTAGTTCACAGGATTTGACAATCTGCTTGTTAGTTAAAGAGGTTTCTTCCCAAATGTTTTTTCCATGACTACGAACTCAGTGATAGTAAGTTCCATAAGTGTGTGGGTTGTGTGTATTTTTCTTTGGTGACTTCACTTCCTCTTCATTTTCCTTTCAGTTGTAATTTGCTGGGAGGGGTCACTTGGGAAATATTTGTTTTGATGTTGTTATGTCTTTCTGATTTAAGCTAATTCTTGATCATGATCAGAAGACAGGCTAGGGAAGAAAATTGATAAAGCACTCATTTGTCCTGTAAGAGCCTTACTTCTCTCTCAGTTCCTCTGGTTCTAGGTATTAGCAATGGCAGCTGCTTGTCCCTTATGCTACCAGATTCTTCTTTTAATTTAACATCAAGCAGTGAAGCTCATTCCACTGATGACTGCTCTCCTATGAGGATTTTGAAATGAATGTGTTTCCTCTCTTGCTAGCTCTCTCAAAGAATTGTTTACAATTTTCTCAGTGTAGAAAAACAGAAGAGTAACAGCAGCTTTGTAAAAGTAAAATTCTGTGTCTCACCCCTCAGTGCCTCATAGGATCTAGTTTGGGGTCGAGTGGTAGTTTTCACTCAGAGAGAAAATGGCTGGTCTTTTGTTTTTCTACCTCTACAGGTTTTGTAGACAGTTCACCAAATCGTTTTCTGTACAGTCTTAGATGCACGTGACTTTTTCAGTCCTAAAAAAGACTTAAAAATTAATATTCTATAGGCAGTAATTCTGCTTTATAGGGAGTCTCGAAGCCATGGAGCGGTTTGACGATCTGGCTTTGGGCCAGTTGAAACTGCTTCAAGGGAAAAAAGGAGCGTTAAGATATTCTAAGGCAAGTTTGGTCGCTGGCAAAACCTGTCTGGAGCCATGTCGGCTTCCTTAGCTTATGTGTGCAAGGGCCAGGCACAGCTGCTGCTGAGCCCTCTACGCAGCAGGGGTGGCAGTCGTCGAAACCACTTGTTTTTGGACTGGGATAGGAGTTCTTGGGAAAGAGAGACTCGGAATCTCTGGCCCCACCCAAATGTACCCCAGGACTTTGACACCAGTTATACCACTCGTTTATTTATGTTCCTGGGTGTCATTTCCCAAAAGCAGGAATCCGAGATGGGGAAATAAAATTGCTCAGGGATGCTTTTTGTTCTTTTTTGTGTTCTAGCTGATTTTATTGTGGTTGTTGGTGTTACTAGAGTTCAAGGGTAGTTGAGATCTCAAAGCCGAGTAATGATCCTAAAGATTAAAAAAAAAAATACCTTTTCCGTGGCAGTCAAATGTTATTCTTTAAGGAGAGATGGAGAATTTAGAGATTTGTTTAGCTACTAGGGCTTAGATAAAGTGACTCTGGTAAGATTCTGTCATCATCATTTAAGTCACATTTTCAGAGTTCACATTTGTAGTTCAGAAAAATATTTAAAAAATACTAAAAGGGAAAACCAGTGTATTACTTAGGTGTCACATACTGACATTTTATGTTTTTATGTGAAACAACATATAGGTAGAGAGAAAAGAGAAAACTGCATTTTGGGACTCCCATTGGATGTAGAAACAGAAATGTAACATCATAGCTGATGAAAAGAAATAATTAATGATTCTTGCATGCAAAAAAAAAAAATGTCTTTGAGCTTTTGTTCATTTTCCTCTTGGCGTGTCCTCATTTCTAACTAAAACCAGCATTGCACATTGAATTTTCAAGCCAGAAATGCTAACATAGCAAATTATTTTGCAGATATTATTTTTGGATTGGAATCCTTTCTGGATAAATATACTGAAAAGTATCGTGGTTAAACCTTGCGTATCTGTGCAGTTGATGAATGGGCTCCAATCTGTTGCTGAACCACAAATATTCATGGTGCTTATTCACATGATTTTTATTTTTAACCCTTCTGCAAACCATTAACTCATCAGTAATTTTTCCTCCATGCTCCTTATGAAAGAATGTCTTTCAAGTGGAATATGAATTCTGTTTTTCAGCAAATGGGTTCCGCAATATTCATCAAGTGCTCCCTGTGTAGGAATTGTAGGGGACTGACCAACAAGGCAGGCTAATGTGGAACTGTGGAGTCAAAAAGCCTCACTTCGCGCTCTGACTGCTCCACTTCCTAGCTCTGAGGCCTTGGGCATTAATCAGAAGCGCCCAGAGTCCTAGTTTCTTTCCTTGTCTGTGCAGTAGTAATAATAATATCATTCTTTAGGGCTCTTTTATTTTTTTATTTTTATTTTTTTTAATTTCTTTTCAGCATAACAAAATTCATTGTTTTTGCACCACACCCAGTGCTCCATGCAATACGTGCCCTCCTTAATGCCCTCCACCTGGCTCCCCAAACCTCCCACCCGCCCGCCCCTTCAAAACCCTCGGATTGTTTAGGGCTCTTTTAAAGGGTGGATAAGTTGATCGTGTAAAGTACTCAGCACTGTGTCTGACACAAGACTCAACAGATGAGATGATGTTATTATAATAATAATAAGGGACTTAAGGAACACCTTTTCTTTCTTTATTTACACATAGATAACTTTGGTACAAGTTCACATAGATGAGCACTATAGAAAGCTCTAGAAGCAAAGTGCTGTGCTGTTACTGGGGAGAGAGAGAAAGCACACCAGAAGGAATATCAAGAAAGTCCAGTTCCATAAGTGAGGGAGAGGAGAAGGAAGAGAAACTAGTGAATGAGGCAGAAAGGGCCAGAGGTCCAGAGGAGATTGCCATTATATAGCATGAGGTTGAGAACTGGTGGCGTGCTTGGCAAATTTGACTCACATATGGGTTTCCTTTAGACCACAGAGGGTTTACAAATTTTTTTAAAGATTTATTTATTTATTTATTTATTTGACAGAGGGAGAGAGAGATCACAAGCAGGCAGAGGTGGGGGAGGGAAGCAGGCTCCCTGCTGAGCAGGGAGCCCGATGCGGGACTCAATTCCAGGACTCTGGGATCATGGCCTGAGCTGAAGGCAGAGGCTTAACCCACCGAGCCACCCAGGCACCCCTACATTTTTGTTTTTTAAGCCAACATTTCAGAATTGGGTGAATTCATATAAACGTCTATACTTCTGGTTTTTCTTGAGAAATGAGAGAATCCAGCATATTTAACCTGAATCCTTGCTTGGCAGCATACAGGATTGCTCTGAGAGGCAACTGCGGCTTTCTGTAGAGCACAGATTGTCCCGTTAGCCACAGTATTCACGACTCCATGTCGTATTATAGGCCCCGAGGCCTCCTGCACACACTGAGGTCACTTTCCCAGCCCCTGTGCAGGCCGTCAAAATATGGTTGAAGTCCTGCTTCTTTGATCGGAGAGGCTGTGGTGGCTGACATCAGTTGTCCAGATCGGTACGTGCCTTCATCTCCAACCTCCAAGCAGCTTGTAGCACCCGGGAGGGTAGTTGTGGAGTGACCTTACAGTGAAAGAAGTACCACAATATGGAAACTGATCTTACCAAGAGTAGAGAAAGTATGTCCTGGAGGGGAGGAGCACAGAGAAAGGTTATTTGCTGAAGGCATGATATTTTAAAAAATTCCTTTGGAGATTTGTTTTGTTTTGTTTTGTTTTAATTTTGGTTAAGAAAACAGTTTCCCAAACAAGTTGAAATGTGTAGACTTTCTGACTTACCAACAATGGCAGCTATAAGGGGCCACAGGATTAGGTATGTGAGCCTAGGAGGATAAACGTACTCCAGTCAGAATAATTTGAGGGGCTCCAGAAATGTGACTCAGGGATTAAGGAAGTCGTTGTGAAAGGAGCAGTTAAGAAATCTTCTTTTCCTCTTGAGCTTGCTGATTAGGATATTCTCAGAGGATACCCTGGCCTGGCTCTTAAGTTTATGGCAGTGTTTTCAAAGCAGAATTTGGTTTTCATGTATCTGATTTCCTTAGTGTAAAACAAAGTATGTGGTCACATTCAGAAGGAAGAATAGCATATTACTACTACTGCTGTAATGTGAATAATGTCATGTGGGTGCCATTTTTACATCTGGTTTTTATTTTCATTTCATCTTAGCAAAAGGGAACTAATTGAAGCAATTTTTTTCTTAAGATCTGTGGTTTAACTGTGCGTACCTATCCATCTCCATCTCCTAACCCTCCAACAAATCAGTTAGTTCTTTCCTTATATTGTAAATCCCACCATAAAATTGACTGATGTTCTATAATTTAGTCTCCATATTTTTTTGTAGCTGTCTTGGATTCCAGCTTTCTCCAGAAATATCTAAGAAATAGGAGTTACGTGGGTATTTAGTTTCTTAAGTCCTTAGCAACTGAATTCAATCATAAATTCTATTCAATTTGGCTCTTGTAAAGAAGTATAATTTATTCATGTCTCATGCAATCTGTCTTACTAAATCTAGAATTACAGTTCATGGTTAGATTTTTTTTTTCCCTGTTGGGAGAGGGTCTTCCAATTGTCCTCATTGACAAGAGGCATTTCTCTGTCCCTAAACCAGCTAGTTTAACTGAACATAAAGGCCTCCCTTAATTTGATTTATTTATTTATTTATTTTTTGTTCTTAAAATGTTGATTCAGTTGTACACATTTTGGTAAGAACAACAAAAAATTAATGCATGTTTGATTGATGAAAACTGTAGTTGTATTCATCTTTTTTCTTGCCAAGAGCATACTGTTGCTGACATCAACAATTAACTGTTTTTTTTTTTTTTTTTTTTTGCTTCTTCCTGTTGCAACATTTGCTAAAGTTGAGGAAATAGAAAATGTTATTTGACATGTAATCCTGAAAGATGTTTCACTGTTAGGTACAGAGGTTTGCAGAGTCCCGATGATGGCCAAGTAGTCTACTTGATGTCAGACTACTCAATACACTGGTTGAGGGCAGGAAACTGGGAATTTTTTATGTATGCTAGGCATAAACACAGAAATCTTATTGACTATTGGCTCATTTTCAAAAACTATAGATGTATGCTATAAAAGCATGGATTTTTG